GAAGCATGTCAAAAAGGAAAATTTTCAAAATCTTCTTTTAAAACTAAGAATGTTGTTTCAACTTCAAGACCATTAGAGTTACTTCACATTGATCTGTTTAGACCAGTGAAAACTGCATCCATCAGAGGCTAGAAGTATGGATTAGTCATTGTTGATGACTATAGCAGATGGACATGGGTGAAATTCCTAAAACACAAGGATGAGTCACATTTTGTGTTCTTTGACTTCTGCAAACAAGTCCAGAATGAAAAATATTTTAAAATTGTTAAAGTCAGAAGTGATCATGGTGGCAAATTTGAAAACAAATATTTTGAAAAATATTTTAATGAAAATGACACTGCTCATGATTTCTCCTGCCCTAGAACTCCACAACAGAATGGAGTTGTAGAGAGGAAAAATAGAACTCTGCAAGAGATGGCCAGAACCATGATCAACGAGACTAATCTGGCAAAGCATTTTTGGGCAGAAGCAATAAATACAGCTTGTTATATTCAAAACAGAGTGTCTGTAAGACCTCTTCTGGAGAAGACTCCCTATGAATTGTGGAGGAACAGGAAACCCAACATTGCTTATTTTCATCCTTTTGGATGTATATGTTATATGCTGAACACTAAAGAGAATCTGAATAAGTTTGATTCTAAAGCACAGAAGTGTTTCATGCTTTCTATTATGAACGCTCTAAAGGCTACAGAGTATACAATATTGAAACACAGATTGTGGAAGAATCTATACATGTTAGATTTGATGATAAGCTTGGCATTCAAAAGCCAAAGCATTTTGAATGTTCTGCAGATAAAGAAGTAATTGTCACAGACTCTGAAGGCTCAGAGGCAGAAAAGGTTCAAGTGAAAGAGCCAAAAGCAACGCCAGATGCAACTCCTTTAGCTTCTCAAATGAACAACTTGAATATTTCTGAAGAATCAAATGTTAGAGGATCATCTTCCAGAATCAAGGCCTCTCACCCAGAGGATGTGATCATTGGAAAGAAGGATGACCCCATAAGAACAAGATCCTACCTCAGATCATCAGTGGGCTGATATTTTCACAAAACCCCTTGTTGAAGATAGATTTAAGTATATTCTGAAAAATATTGGTATGGATTTTTGTCCAGAATAATATTTATCAGAAGAAAATTTCTCAGATGCAAAATGTTTAAAACTCTGAAGTATTTCATCTGTAATTTATTTAATTTTTTCTGTATGTATCTGAACTAACAAGTCTCAGAGGATCTGAATGTTGGCTAACGTTTCATTTCTCAAAGATATTTTAGAAGCACATGCAAGCAAACATGTATCACTCTGAATCTGAAAAGATTTGTACATAAATCCGTGAGTACGGATTTTTTTGCCATCCTTAGACAACATAAGGATCCTAAACGGAAAACCTTGGCTCTTCATAAATTTGTGGCTCATCCTTCTATCGCGGTGAAATTTGGATACCAAACTATTGATTAGCTTGAATCTTTATTTCATTTTTGCAACCGAACTTTGATTTGTCCAAAGGAAGGGATAAAGATCGAAATTCCCACAATGCAATGCAAATGCAAGGTTTAGAGAGTTATAGGTTCGGGGGTTGGTTAAACTTAGGGAAGGTACTAGCATCTTAAGTTTCTGTAGTACTCTACAGGAACCTCTTGTTTTATGTTTGTTTATTGCTATGTGTTATCTGCTTAAAGGATTAGAGACCTAGGGGTTTATTTCTAAGTATACTCGATAAGATGTCGCATTTTATGCCTACATATCCTTACGGGAGTGGAATCAGAGTATTTGTAGTTCCCCTAAAGGGTTAGAGGGGTTCTTTGACTGTGGTCAAAGTTCCTACGGGTTTAGGGTAGTTTTTTTGATTGGGTTTAGGAGAAGAGACGAGTCTTCATTTTAAGGGAGATATAACCACCACAAGTGTAAAGGGGGTCGTAGGAAATGGTCTTTGCATCGTCTTAAGAAAAGGGTTTAAGTACTCGGATGGTCGCCAAGTATGCCTTTATCGCTCTTAAGGCAAAGTTCCTACATGTTTGATTGTATTGTTGTGGAGGTGGAGATTATATCTCACTTAAGATGATTAACATCTATTCTCTATTTGTGTTTGAAAAGTTGTTTAGTGTTGATTGTTTGTTTGTCTACGTTGTAAAGATTAAGACAAGGTCTTTCCTATGGGGTAGGTCCTAAACTTAAATGATCAACTTGAATGGAATCAAGGATCGAAGGGATTATGATGCAAATGATATGCACTACACACAAGTGTTGACTCATGTGTAGGTTTTTCCTTTGGACGAATGCGATGCATAAGTATAAATGTGATAATGTAAATTGCAATAAGTAAATTGCGGAAATGTAAACCATACAAGTACGCATGAAAGCGCTGGGGTGTAGGTGCAAGTGTCGTGAATTGTGCACGATTAATTTATATTTATACGATGTTGTTTGATTTTAACTGTTTGACTTGTTTTTAGACGAGGTTGAATTGATTTTAGGTGGAATTATTTTTAGAGAAATGTTGTATTAATTTTAGGAAATGGATTTAGGTGATGTTAAATAAAAATCAAATTTTAGGTTTTTAAATGAAATGCTACCATAGTTAATTTTTATTATACAAATCTAAGTGAAATGATTACTTAAATAATATTAATTTGTTAATTATAAAATAATATAAAAGAAATGTTTTTATTTCTAAAACACTTTACTGTTTAATTAGACAAAATGGCAAGAGGTTTTATTTAATGAGTAAAGATATAAACTATTTATAAAAAAAAAAGTCCATTTTAAATAAAAGGATCTAAAGAATTAATGGATTAATTAGTTTGAAAACTTAATTCATTAAGAAGTTAATTTAAAAGTTATTAGTTAAATTAAATTAAAAGTTGAATTATAAATTAAAATCATGAAATTGGTTAGAAATTGATTAATTAATTGGATAATTATTTAAATAAAGGAATTAGTAATTATGTTATAGTCAATTAGGGTTAACGGGAGATTAAGGTGTGATTATGTGGTGATGTGTGTGTGGTAATTGGCAGATTACAACTAAACAAAACAATGAAAGAAAAAAAGAAAAAAACGCGATGAACCTAAATCGGTTTCCCCTTCTCCCTCGACGTCGTCGTTTCCTCTCGTCTCTCTCCCTCTAACCGCTTTCCCTCATCCTTTGAATCCTGAAACACAACAAACAAATCAGCAGATTCAATACTTTTTGCAAGAAAATGAGAGTTTACCGAAGATTGATGAGACGGTGTTGGAGGCGATGCTTCGTCGATTGGTGTTCGCGGCGGTCGGAAGAGATTTCGTTGACTCACTAAGATAAGTCACTTTGCTCAATTTTTCTGTTACGAAACTAGGTTTGCTGTAGCTGTGATTTTTGATAGTTTTTTTCTCTCCCCCCGTTCAATTGAATCGTTCTCTCTTTATATAGGCTATAAGTTGAGATTTTCTGATTTGAGAATTGATTGCTACTTTAAAATCCTGGTTGGATCTTTCCATTTTAGTTTATACGAAATTTGAAATATTTCCTCTTCTGTCTGATTGCTATTTCAAATCTTTGATTTTTGGTTCAAATTGAGATTGGATCTGATTGGATTTTTTTGTGGAATATTCTCCCAAGCAAAGTGCTAATCCGATTTTGCCTTTAGCAGGTGTGGATAACAATTAGGTTTCGGGCCCAAAGGAAATCCAGCCCATGGTAGATGCGGCTGCTAACTCTGTTAGGATTGAGCAAACTCGTCGGTGACTTGAAATTTGAACAAACTTCTGCTTGGTGGCGATGATTATTCAATTATTAACTCTTTCGAATGATTCCCAATAAATTGACAATGGAAAGACTGCTAGCGGTGGACTTCCTGGTTGCAACACTATTTGACTGGACGGTAAGCTTCTATGCTCTTCAATTTTCTTGCTGACCATTCACTCAAAGTTTCATTCTTCCCTGGACTTTCAGACAAGGATAATGGAATACAACATCCCTTAGGAACAGTAGCGAATGCATTGCTCATCTTTGTACATTGCTCAGAGCAAATAGGCAAAGCTTCCAATGAAGTTAGCGCATATAGCGGATTCCTGATTAATACAGGAATGGGTGTATCGCTGGATAGAGGCTTCATCAGTAGACATGCTCAACAAAACATTAGACAGTGCTCTGAGATTCCTCAAACTATCAGTCAATCCTTTCTCAGAATCATATAATTCTGGTGCTAGGTACTTTGCTTTAATATGCTCTTCCATATTGTGAACAGAGTCTTTGTCGAGTTTGCACTTTCTAGCTTCTGACGATGTAGGAGATTGTTGAGTGATTGTGGCCTTGTACAGGATGTTTTCTCTTGGTTGATGGTGTGTATCATGGCGGGTATTGTTCCACAATTTTGCTGAATCCACTTTCAATTCTACGAATTTCAACAGGTTTAAGTCCTTTGATTTTCCTTGTAATTCGTGAAGCTGCACTGCGTAAAAGCAATGTTACGGTATGGTAGTTTACTTCGGATGCTTGCACTTGGGGCTAGGGAATCCTTGGTAGCAAATATCCTTGATTCCTCTCTGGTGGGCTTTAGTGGTGAAGATAGATTGCTTTCTCAATCTTGAGTTCTAGATGGCATTGTGTTACTAACATCTTCTTCTCGTTTTGCAGCAATAACGTTTTGATGGCTGGGTGCAATCATATGCGAATTGCTTCGAAGCCGCTGACGTGAGTACTATAGAGATTGCTGCCATGGTATGCTTACTTGGAATTGGCTGTCAATAGTAATTTGATGTGCAGATTTGTTGATTAATCCTCTTCGCGACTGAATGTCGATTCACAGGGCGCGGAGACTTGGTGACGTGAATTGGATTTGTAGTTGTAGCCCTGTTTTAAATAAATCCTGGCTTGTTTGTGCAGGAGATTCACGCATCCTCTGCAGCATAAGGGAAGAGCTGGAAGTTGCTTTGGATTTGGGGCGACGGTTGCAGCTGATAATTTCGGCGGAAGATAACTCCAATGACCAAAATTGGTATATTTCAAACATTCCAGGTGCAACCTCAAAATGGAGATTGACACAAGGGGCAAGATGATTTGTGAGATGTTGAAAACCATTTGTAAAGGCAAGCAGAATGAAATTTGTGTTTGCAAGTCTTGCAAGCAAGGCGAGGAATGCGGTGGTTTGTAGTGTGGATGACACTGTAACAGATTGGACACTCCTCAACACCTTCAAATTCTTTATCAAAATTGTGCTTCCAAATTCCAATAGCTTCTGCTAAAGCACCATTCTGATTACGAACAAATAGCATCATTGACATCAACCATTTCCTTTGCTTGACCTCACTAATTCCAAGGCTCCTAGTACAATCAACATCTACGGACCTTAGTGGATAAGATGCAGGGAGACGGATGACTAGATCCATTCCTGTTTCATCCTTAGTGTAAGTAACAACAACCTCATTCGCTGATTTTCTTACACTAACTGAGAAATTTTCATCACGAAAGTTGGCTTTCTTAATCTGGGTTAATTCGTTTGCAATAAGGGGAGGGCTGTAGCAAGTCCTTGTAAAAGATTCAATGGCAGTTGATGTGTTACGATCGCGCAAATCATTAAACCAGCCACGGACGTAAGCAGGAAGAACATGAAGCATCAAGCCATATATTGCTCCAGCAAGTGCTGAAATTTTCTCTGACTCAATAGGCCAAAGAGATTCCACAGGGAACAAGAGTGAACCAGCGTTGGTGGCTTTGGTTGCAGCACTTGCCGGTTTTGATAAGCCACCAGAAAGCTCTGCATCTTTCTTCTTCAGACTCTGAATCATGGAAATCTCAACAGGAATATGCTGAAAAAGGCAATCTAAAATAACTGGAGTAGCAGAATCTTGAATGTACTGGACCAGTCTCTCCCTGTCAGATGATGATGAAGGCAATGACCATAGATGTGATATCAACAAAGACCAAGCCAGGAAGAGATTTACCCTAACAGGTTTGAAACTTGTCTTGAAGCTACCGTAACCGCCTTTCTAATTCAGTTAAATAAGCTCGGTTACGTTTGATAGTGTTTGGTGAGTTAATTTTCTTATATTTTATGTCCAAACATTGCCAAGAATAGCTTTGTGAAGTCTTGATAGCTTTATCTGATTTGTGATTTGTTTTACACATGGAAACCGAGCCATGTGCGGACGGGAGCTGCGATTGAGGATATTTAAGAGAAGGCAACATCAATATGAGATCTGATTGGACTTCCATTACTGTACTGAGCAAGTTTGAAGCAAATTGTTCAAATAAAGTTGAAGTTATAACGTTTAGCTGTTGCGATGACGGTGCACAAGTCTCGTAAAGCTTTAATGTTTGATGTCATGAACTTTGTATCTCCTCCTGAGTTTAGAATAAATTTGAATTTGGAGCTTTTATATCATTTGAACTTTGAGGTAGCATGTAGTATTATCAGTGAACTTGTATTATTGAGTAGTGAACTTTGAACTTCGGTTGAATTTTGACTTATTTTTAAGTTTTTCAATGCAAATCTCTGGATATAGTATTATGAGCTTTTGACGTTTATTGTAAATCCTGTCCCATGAATATAGTAGCAGCGTTGCAGTTTGAATGGCTGAGTTTTTCTTTAATATGCATACTTCTAAATTTCCAATCTTGAAGCCTGAACAAACTTGGACCTTTCTAATGTGCTGATGAATTAACCTTCCATATTGAGTAACTTTGAATGTAATGTCCTGAATTGGTGTTTGAATTGGAAAAAAATGATTCCGCTCGTGAACCATGTCTGGACTTGGATCTTAGGACTAAGGCGGAGAGCTTCGTGTCATAAATCCCTTCTTGAATTCAAACGTATTCTTCTTCAAAGTTTCAAATTTCACTCTATTAATATACCTCCTTCATAAATAGAATCCAAGCCATGCCATTAAAAACTTTTAGAGACTAACATTAGGCATGCAATTCACACCGGTTCTCAAATTAATATTTTTGAAACTCCATGGACGGGAGGCCCTAATCCTTCTTGGGAAGTCTCTGAGAAATTTTGGAGTGATAGACCTTGTGTTGATCAATGGACTAGAAGAGTAGGGACATATCCTTCTTTTGTATCCACATAATTTGCAGCGGGATGAAACTCTGGCGGGAATGCATACAACTTTCATGACTTTTAAACCTCCGGTAGTAATCCTAACTTCACAATCGAACAAACGGTTAACATGGTTAGTTATGCGCAATGATCGACTACGAGGAAACGCCATCTCCTTTCAGTATTACCACGTCTGCACAAATCGGTTAGTCACAAAAAAAGGTATAAATATTAAAATAAAGTCGAATAACAATAGAAAATGCGCAAAAAGAGGTGGTATCTCGTGGTCAAAAATTAGGGTGCAACAGATGCCCCTATTTAAGTTACTCCTATTCGGAGATATGGAGATCGAAATTTCCGTCTCGACGAGATAGGAGGGACTTAAATACAAACATTTGCGCAAATTTTTGGCCCTAAGAGGCCACCGAATGAGGATGATATGCAGTGACATGAAGATGCAAGACGGACAAATCTGTGAGGAAGAGGTCATAGGGGATGAACTGGATACGACATGCCGGACAAAAGAGCAACAGATCCAACAAGGCGGGACCCTACAAGGATAGGAACAATCACCCATGGGAAATCTCCAAACGTGTAACGGTAACTCATACATCAAGGATGCGGTGATTTTGACGATTTGTGATCGAAAGATACTTTTACTACCAAGGTGGTGGTCAATAGTAACTCAAAATGGATCTTTTTGATTGGGGCGCAATGCATTCTTCGCCATTTTTTTTATTATTTTATTATTTTGTAACTCAGCTGAAACGGTAAAATGTGTAACCTCCCCGAGCGTCATGGTACAGGGTACCACGAGCCAGTCTCAGTCTCTGCCTGAAATGTCAAAATTTTGTAGATGGTAAAATCGCTGTAGTTTGTAGATGTAGATGTTGTTGTAGATGTTGAACTTCCCCTTGCATCATGGTATGGGAACCATGAGCTGGTCTCGATTCCTGATGTCGAACTTCCCCTTGCATCATGGTATGTGAACCATGAGCTGGTCTAGATTCCTGATGTCGAACTTCCCCTTGCATCATGGTATGGGAACCATGAGCTGGTCTCGGTTCCTGATGTCGAACTTCCCCTTGCATCATGGTATGGGAACCATGAGCTGGTCTCGATTTCTGAGGTCGAACTTCCCCTTGCACCATGGTATGGGAACCATGAGCTGGTCTCGGTTTCTGAGGTCGAACTTCCCCTTTCACCATGGTATGGGAACCATGAGCTGGTCTCGGTTCCTTCCCGGAATGATGAAAACTCGTGAGAGCACCTTCATAGGGGGTTGTGATTTTGTAGATTGTAGATGTCGTTGTAGACTGTAAATGTAGTTCACCGTAGAACCCTGTGAATGTAGTTCGTTGTAGAACCCTGTAGATGATAAATGTTGTTGATGTAGTCTGTAATGTACTCTGTTGTAAATGTGATTGTAAATGTAGATGTAATCTGTTGTTGAAGAACTGTAAATTGTAATTTGTTGATGTAATCTCGTAAATGTAGAGTTTGTAGAGGTAAATCTTGTAAATGTAGAATTTGTAGAGGTAAATCTTGTAAATGTAGAATTTGTAGAATATGCACCGGGGATCTTCAAAGGAGTTGTAAACCGGTTGATCTGTGGAGTGTCCTCTTGTAAGGAGATATGTCGTTGATAGTACTCATAATGAACTCTCTGGGGAAGATCCTTTTTTTTTTGAGTATCTTTGTTGTAATTGTAAGATATGTGAAATTGTTGTAGCAGAAATCCTCAAATGGGGAAGTACCTGTAATGTCCCTTGTTTTGTCTTGATAATCTTGAAATAATCCACTAGGGAAGGACAGATTGTCTTGAGGAAATTGTTGTTTGTCATTTTGAGAATAAATCTGCCCAAAACTAGTTGCTCAAATAAAGAGATCTTCTGTCTTTCAGCTGTAAGCTGTTGTTGAGGAGGTCTTGTAGTATTGCCGAAGAAGTATCACGTCTTCAATGGTGATCCTAATAATGTCAAAATGCAAAATAAATGCACTCTTGATTCATGCTCAAAAGCTGGAGATGTTCGTAGTGTGATTGCCAAAGACCGAAGTTCAATTCGGGAAATAACCGAAGAGAAACTGTCAAGCAAGACTCAACCCTAGAGGCATAAACTCCAATGGGAATGTACTGAAACAACTGTCTTCCACGAGGATCGAACTTCGTGGGGAAATAGGAATATTGAGTTTTTTCTGCTTAGGGCTGACAACTCTATTTGGAAGGAAGAGACACGCCCAAATACCCAAGGGTAAACGCGATCGAAGAGATAGAGTAAAACATACAAAGGATGCACAAATGCAAATGTTATGCTATCTACTTATATGATATGCGTATGCTTATGCTGACAAAACAGACGAAAGCAATGACCGAATATGGGATAAACGTCTCGAAACAAACATCCGACCAATCTTCAAAGATAGAAGTACCACTGAGGGTAGATGGAGAACCAAATGTAGGATCCCAATACTGCTTCAAAACTTCAAAATTTCTCTTGAGGAAAAGTGATCAATCCATTTGGGGATGTAACATCTTGATAAGTTTGGCATGTTGTATGAAATTGTAGACGGAGGTACCCAAACCGAAGTTTCATGGGGGATAAAATAAATATCCTGGGTCGTCGTTGTTGTTGAACATGTTGGGGTTGAGCTTCCTGAGGATGAAATATATATCTTTTTGCTCCAATCTTCAAATGCCCCAAGTCATATGGTTTAAAAGCAACATCTAGAGAGGATTTTACAGAAAACTCGATGTCCCAATGCCCCACTGCTTTCGAACTCTCTAGAGATTCGCCGAATCTCGACGTAACTGCCCCTGATTGGCGGTATAACTGAGTCTTCCAAATTGTGCTTTAGATGAAACCAAGACTGGTGTGAACCCAACCTCTTAGGAGGAAACTTGCCCCAAGTCATCAAAGTCTTCAAGTACAAATATCAATGTATGTGTGTAACCTTTCTAAGATGTCAAGCGCACTTTAGCAAGTTAGAAATATCAATTTCGAAATGGTTAATGCAACACACGTTTGTCTTGAAGTTTTGAAAAAGGATATCGTTATAACTTGTGATCGAAATCACTAGTTGGGTTATAAATTAAAATTATTTATAAAGCCGATTTAATTTGAGCATAGCTCAAGGAGTCAGGAAACAACATCTCATCGAGTATGCTTTCGAACTAACCTTACTTCAATTAGGACTTTGAGGGTCGTATTTGGGTTTAATTTATGACTTGTAGAATGGAGGTAGAAAGGGTTAGTATATTTGTGCCCACCCAATTTTTGAAGATGTTCATTATTTTTGATATTACCCTGCCCCAGGTTAAGAAAATGAGGTTTCGGTTTGGGAGAAGAAAAAAACAGGTCTTTTCTCAAGGCTTAAAAGAAAGGGTTGACTATGTTGGCGTTTAGGAGGTTTAAAATAATGCCTTACATCATCAGTAGGGTTTTTATTCGAAGCATACAACAAGAGATCACATGTTTTACTTCATCATCCTCCTTCCAATTCTCTGTCAGAGCAAGAGATCGGGTAAAAGTCGGCATTATAAATAATTTTGAAAAACTATTTGAGTGAAAACAAATGGATTTCTTCAAGACAAACAGTTATTGCATTACTTATTCAAAATAGAAAGTTCTTACATGCCAAAAATACTCTTAACCAAAGAAATAAACACACAAACAAACGAAAGAAATAGAAAGTTCTTCTGGAGTTTTCACTTATATCAGCGTAATGGTATTCCATTCATGATCG